AAGTTGTTCACAGACATTTCACTTTTAACCTTACCATTAATGTGATATAAAATGTTTTTTTTTTCTTTCTACTGGATTTAACAGCTGACGTGAAGCTGCTAAATGCTGAGGAGGGCACCCCTGCTTCAGAAAGGGAGGAGGGGGGCCGGCCCGGTGGCGCACTGCTACAGTGTGCCACTTGGGAGCACGGTGGCGCTCCCGCCGAGGGTTTGGATTCCACATACAGACCGGCCGCTCACTGGCTGAGCGAGGTGCGGGAGCAACGCCGAGGGTTGCGATCCCATTGCCGGTCCCGGTCTGGTACGGGCGCGACACTGAGGGTTGTGATCCGTTGCCAGTCACGAAAAAAGACAAAAAAAAAGGGAAAAAAAAATAAAAATAAAAGAAAGGGAGGAGGTAGGGGGTTGCATGACACAAATACTTGGTAGGAAGTGGCAAATGGAATCTTTCTTGATTTTTCTCTTATAACTTTGACAATTGTTTTTCCTTAAAAAAAAAAAAAAAAAAAAAGAGAATCTACCTAAAATATTTAATGCTATTTCAAGAATTCTAGAATAATCCATAACAGAGTGGTTTTTAAAGAAAAGGAAAGAAGTTTTGCTTCTGGCAGTGGATCCCCTCCACTGATTTGCATATTCTGACATGATCAGTTGCAAAAAGCTGCCTTGAATTCGTTCCACAGATGGGAAATAGCAAGGACGGTAATTAGCGAGGCAGTCACAAGGACTGCCATCTGACATTTGATTTCTCATCAGGAGAGTGTCTGACATACATTACACTGAGCAAGCTTGTGAGAGTCTCTCACATTCTGGATGCATGGAGAATGCATGCACAGAAAACATGCCCACCCCAACCACCACATCCCCACACTGCCCTCAACACACATGTTCCGACACGATGACAACACAGCATGCTCCGAGCCTCCAAGCTGTCACAGCCCTCAGCCAATACGCTGCCAAAAAGATGCTCAAGCAGCAGTGGACGTGGGCCTGACCTTTGGCACCCACAGCCACTCCCAAGGACTTCCTGCAACCCCCAGGGACCTGGAGGAGGCCAAGGGCTGAGGGAGGCCACGGAGGCCACAGACAAGCCCAGGAAGTTGCTGTCCTTCTACTCTAATCTCCCGCCACTCTCATCTGTCTCTGGAGAACACAACCCTGTTTGGGGGGTTTGGACAAGACACATCTTCCAGTAGCAACCTCCAGCAGGACACTAGTTTTTAAACTACCTAATGTTCTCTTAGCTTTCTGACTTTTTTTAAAAAAAACTTTATTTTGTTTCTACACTCTTTTGCTGCAAGTGGAATATCATGCTTACTCCAAGCGGCAATGTAAAGCTATGACTTCAAAGCCTTTCCCTGATAACACATCGAAACAGTGCAGGGAAGACCAAGTGCTATCTGTAATTCTATAGATAATTAACTGAAACTCTGTGTACAAGTCATCATTGGGAGTTTCTGTGCACAAGGTCATTCTCACGGGCCTGCTTGATTTTGTTTCAGTGTTTCTTATATTTTGCTGGGCAGGGAGAGGTTTGGATAGTCTTTCAGTACAATTCCATTTCAATGTGCAGAGAGAACTTGAACTTCTTTTTTTTTTTCCTTTTTGTCTTTTTTTGTGTCCGGCAATGGATCGCAACCCTCAGTGTCGCGCCCGTACCGGACTGGGACCGGCAACGGGATCGCAACCCTCGGTGTTGCGCCCGCACCTCGCTCAGCCAGTGAGCAGGAACCGGTCTGTATGTGGGATCCGAACCCTCGGCGGGAGCGCCGCCATGCTCCCAAGTGGCGCACTGTAGCAGTGCGCCACTGGGCCAGCCCGAGAACTTGAACTTCTGATTGGCCCAGCAAAGGCCCAAAACATGCTCTCCCTCCTCGAGGCCACATCTTTTTGCTTGTCTCTTTCTTGACCCCAAAACGCCCCTGCCTGCACCTCTGCTCTTGTGCTTTTTTCTTTGGTTTAGAGTAGCAGCATATGTATGTTTGAAATACTGCCTTTTCATTTACATTTACATTTCTGTAAAATGTGATGTTACTAAAGCCATGAAAGAGACAGAGCCCCCCACTTTGGATTTGCCAGCCCTGGGGGTGCATGACTGAGTTCCTCTCTCATCTCCCAATCTTCAACCTCCAGCCCACTGAATCCCTTTGCTTGAGGCAAGCTGGTGGCCTCTCCACGCCAACCCCTGGCACCCTCCCCACTCCATGCATGGGCCATTCATCAAGCTGCACCTACTTTAAGTTGGAGAACTCACCTTAAAGCCCACCACCTCTTCCAAGCAGCCTCCCCTGATTAATTGAGGATGGAGAAAACTCCGAAACATGACCAACAAACTCCCAATAGATGAGAACACACACACGCACCCCAGACAAACACAAAAACTCACATAAAGAGAAAATTATACATTCTCTACCTTTGAATTATAAAGCTCCTATGAGGGTAAGGAGAGCAATCTCATACTATTAACCAGTGAATCACTCCAGACAATGAGATTTTCTTAACTTCCTTGGCGTGACTCGGTAAAACACTCTGCTATGTTGCTATGCTGTGTCCTTCATACTTTCTGAAAGTCCCTCTCCTTTTCTTCTCAGCTTCCTGGATGCATAACTAAAGGGAACTGCCTCCACTGACATGCACAGCACTAAAGTTAGGTGGTTCTCAAGACATCTCGTCACGGGGGATCCCCCTGCCCAGGAGGAACCCGGGATGAGACTAGCAAATGTCCTGAGCATCTAGTTTTCTCATCAGGAAGCTTTAACGGTTCTTCAAGCCCATGCACTTCCTGGGCAGACATGTCTGCCATGCTGGGATAAAGGACTCTAGATGAGGCCCTGTTGAAAGCACTGGGGCCAAGGTTCACGACAAGACTCAGTGTCCAGACTCAAGTGAGGTCGCTGGAGAGCCAGGTGCTCTCTGAGGCAATCACATCAGAAAATAGACACAGACATATTCACTCTCATAATGCTGCCCTCTCATGTTGCTGTTAATGCCATTGGTGGAGGGCCAAGAGATTTGGGCATACATGACCAGAACGAGCAGAAACACAGATGGGATGACAATAGCGGGCAGCTGCAACATGGCATCAAACACCACTGCCACAGAAGCTCTCTAGCTACAAGCCACGCTGCACAACCTTTAAGCAAAACAGTATTGATTGGGTGGTTATAGAAACGTACCTTCAACTGCAGAACTCAGTTTTATGACACCTTGAACAAAAACAAAGAGCAGCAGTTATATAGCAGACTCAGTCTCTTTTTCCAGTCTTCTGGTAACACACACATGCTTTGGTTCTGGATTTTTTGCTGGCATTTTGAGAACTTAGCGAATATCAACTTCAGAATGAAATAATTTTGAGTCCTGGATTAGACCTGATGAGTGGCTTCACTAAAACTATTTGGAATGATTTTTCACTAAATAAGGGATAGGATGTGTTTTTGGATGAGACAAAGGCCAAGTCTGGCTGAGTGATTATTTCTGTGTATAAATGATGCTGGATTAGGATCTATAAAACTTCATACAACAGGACACGTGGGGACCACAACTTCCTGTTTAGTACTGTGAGTGGAGACCATTTGATACATATTGGGCTGGAGTTTCTGTTGAAATACGTAACAGATGGTTAAAAACCACGATATGATCTGGCAACTTTCTTCTCTGGGCTGGCTGGGCCAGAGGCCCTTTTCTTGGTCTGATGGCTTCAGCTTTCGGCTCCCTGCAGGTCAGAAAGTGAACGGCCATCAGAGCATGTCAAGTTATTCATGAACCAAGCAAACGTCACCCTTGACTGGATATTCATGTGCCTTTTTGCTGAATTTAAAGGTGAAAATACTAAACTAAGATCAATTAGACCTGTATTTTTTGTAAGTCATAGTTTTAAATAAACAATATTCCCCAGTCTTTATGCAGTGGCCATGATCCTTTAGGCTGAGCAATCATGTCTACAGTATCATTTGGCTAAAAAATCTCATTTTCTTTCAAATGGATGAGTTTCCAATTAAAAATGAAAACAAAACCCTTTTCAATACTGGTCATCCAAATTGGTGTCAGCATGAACACACACTGATTACATGTCTCCATTATGACTTTCTGGAAAAGCTTCTTTTAAGTTACCTATTAAATTTAATTTTTCCTGCAGAACCGATGGTGTCTGGTCAATATTTAACAAGGGACTCTCCGGGAGAGAAAGTATGCATATATATGTACATATGTTTATTATGCATTTTACTGATATAAAGGATGTGTACCACACAATCTATAATAGTCTAATAATAAAATATACACTAATTTTGATGGCAAGTTCCATGTAGCCAGTTGATTCTCAAAGAATGCTTTTATTGATTTTAGCCAAACTCTTGCATCCATATTCAGCATGTCAACCATGATTGGAAAAAATCATGCATTCAGTTGCATCCCTGCCTGCTTTTTTCCCAGTAAATTTATTGTCATTACATCTTTTATGTGACCTATTTTTCACCTTCATATAAATTATTTTCATTAAATTAAAACCTTTTGGGTTCAACACTATGTATATAAATTCATCCCTGGACGTGGACTTGGGAAGAGACTTGGAGTAGCCACACCAGCATGTGGTATTCTCCCTTGCAGGTGCAGGAGCTACAAACAACCTCAGGAGCATGAGAAGTAAAATCCACTCAAATGATCAGGAAGTGGCAAGTTTTAGGTATTAAATATTTTCATTTTTAATATAATTCATTTAATGGTAAGTATATATAATTTAATCGGTAACAGTGAGCTCAGAAAATTCCTGAAAATGTAACAACTGGTTCTCCCAAGTTGGTATGAACTGGTTTTATGGCACCACTGTCAAAACTGATGTTTCTTTTAAACAGGCCCAGAGAAGAAAATCTTGAACTTTATAATACTTTCTGAGATATTCATAAAGGGGGATATAGTTTAACTGAACAAGCCAAATGTGAGTGAGCTTAGCATTTACTATTATTTTGCTAGTCATTTCAAAACCTGTTAATCCTGTTATATACAAAAAATATACTATCCACACATCACCTTGGAAATAATAGTCATTGACAATCGACCAAGAAGATGACCTAAATGGACTTGACATTCTTTGGACTTGACATTTCTCGCTAAACCAAGAACCAAAGTCAGATACAAGTAATTGGCCTATTAAGCAATAATCCCATCTTCAAACTGTAGAATCTTTATATACATCAGAATATTAATTTTTTCAGCCATATTCATCTTTGTGTGCAACCATGATGTCAGCAAATGTCACCCAAATGAAAAGAAAACGATGTGCTCTAATTGACGTGCAGGCTTTATGCAAGAAAACAAGAAAAGCTAAACAAATCCCTATGGAAAATGAGGGTGGGGTGGAGGGGAGCCCAACAATGCATTATCGAGTTAGGAAAAAAGACAAACAACAAACAAAAGCCTGAGTTTAGAACTCTAACTATAAACATTATAACGTATGAAAATATTAGTGATTCATTAGCTCCATATGGACTTATTTTTTTAAAGCCCCAGTTGAACTTTTCTCTATAGTAGAGTAGGCCTTTATATTGCAAAGTAACTATGTCAAAGTGAAAATCTAGAATATCTAGAATTAGCTAAATCTAGATATATAGCTAATATTAACATGATACACAAAATTATAGGAGGAGGGGAAAGATATCTTTTATCTTAATATGAGAATATTTTAAAAATTTTGAATATTTAAGAATTGATTGATGTTGATGTATAAAAGCTACACATAGTACTGCTGACTTCAGGACACACAGTAGACATTATCTGGTGAGTGGCTGACATTGCCATTGCCAGGAATTCAGGTTAGCCATAACAGACATATATGCATATATACGCACGCTGGATCCTACCACCCCCCTCATTTACTTTCTCATAGCCTGCAGAAGTATTTGAAAATAAAATTGAAAAGAAAAGATAAAAGAAAAACTATTTTCCCTCAATTCAATATCTTTAAAGCAAAATTTCTAAACTTGTGGTGATTTTTGTAGACTGTGACTATTATCTTCCTGCAAGCCAGAGCAAATCACTAGCCAGGTATATTTTCTGCAGCTGTCTGCTAATTCCAAAATTATTCCACCCTCTTTCCTACCTTTTTCACTTAATGACTAATTTCAATTGATCTAAAATAATTCATAGGAGAAAGGGTCAGGTTAAAATAATTCATGCTAATGTGTGAATGACTAGGGCTCACTAAGACCCTCCAATGACACTTCATTGTTGAAACACCAAATAAATTTTTATCCCTGGCCAACAACGTGATATATCTCCTCCTATTTCCCTATTTCTTTCATTTATCTCACATGACTTTTTCCCTTAGTCAAGATGCTTTAGCTACATGGTCTTCTCTCTGGGCTTTGAAATGCTAGTTCCTTTCTGCTCCCAGCCAGTGTGCTTGCTGCTCCCTCTGGCCTGGATACTCTCTCCTAACCTACTGAGTCTCCCTGTAGGTAGCTCTTCCTGTTCGTTCAGATTTTACTTCAAATGTTACTTCCTCAGAGAGTCCTCCTTGATTACTTTATTTAGAGCAGTCGCCTCTGGCCTGGATACTCTCTCCTAACCTACTGAGTCTCCCTGTAGGTAGCTCTTCCTGTTCATTCAGATTTTACTTCAAATGTTACTTCCTCAGAGAGTCCTCCTTGATTACTTTATTTAGAGCAGTCACAGAAATAACTGTCGACCCCATTACTCTCTTTTTTTTAATAGCACTTATCACTGTTTGAAATTATCTCATTGATTTACCATTTAAGTGTGTGCCTTATAGAGCTTATAAAACAGACAAAAATGTTTCTAAGAATTCCAGGGGTGTTGTTCCACAGCCTGGGCCCAAGAAGGGTCTGTCTTGAAGAAAATTGTGGATGTGTGTTTTGTTTAACAGAGTACAATCTAGTAAGATTCATAGGAAGCCCATAAAGATTATAAGAGAAGTATAGTAGTAAACACATCATCAGCTCAAATAAAGTGCAAAGGGGTAGTTCAAAGTGCAAAAAGTCCTTAGGGCCTCCAAATTTCTATGGGCAGGAAACAGGCTGAGATTATTCAGCTGCAAGTTCCTCCGCTCTTTGAATGAAAGTGTTCAATGCATTTACCTCATCCCTGTAGTGTTGCTATATGCTGGGTGTATATGGGGCAGATGCTTTTTCTTTTTAGTTCACAGGTCTTCATATTGAGAGAAATTGTGCTAAACAATAGCATCAAAGGAGCCCCATCAGCACCTGAACATTATTTAGATGATAAGAACCTAGATCTCAAACTTGAGCTTGGGTTGAGATTTTTGAGGTTTTTATAGGGGGTGAGTATTTTTTGCCTTACAGAGGGTGTATATTATTTGTGTCCAGAGAATAAATCTTGGCTGGCCTTATGTCCACAAATTATTTGAAACTCTTCCTATTGACAGGTGGCATCTCTGTCATTCTTTTTAATCTGGATGGTCTCTGTAACTGCTTTGACCTATAGAATATGGTGGAAGTGATGCTCTGCCAGTTTCTGGGCCCAGACCTTAAGACTTCCTGTCTTCTGAAACACACTCTCTGGGAGCCCAGAGCTGACATGTAGGAAGTCTTAAAGCTGCATGGTGCTTATAGGTGCTTGAGTCAAGAGTTACAGCTGAACCCATACTTGTAGCCATTGAAACCAAATAATGTCATCTTTGATCCCTCAGACCAGCCCAACTATGATGGCTGGTTTGTGTATCAACTTGACTGGGCTATGGGGTGCCCAGACATTTGGCCAAGCATTACTGTGAGTGCATCTGTGATGGTTTTTCTGAATGAGATTAACATGTGAATCAACAGACTGAGTAAAGCAGATTGCCCTCCCTAATGCAGGTGGGTCTCATCCAATCAGTTGAAAACCTGAGTAGAACAAAAAGGCTGAGTAAAAAGAATTCTCTGTCTTTGTTGGGATATAGGTCTTCTGCCTTTGGACACAGACTTGGACTGGAATTTATACCATTGCTCTCCTGGTTCTCAGGCTTTTAGACTCAGATTGGGACTATACCACTGGCTCTCCTGGGTCTACAGCTTGCTTGCTGATTGCAGATCTTGGAACTTCTCAGCCTCCATAATCACTCGAGTCAAGTGATATACATCTTGGTTCCATTTCTCCAGAGAATACTGACTAACACACCAACTTCCTGCTGAATGTGGAACAGAAGAAGCACCCACTGAACCATGCCTAAATTCCTGACTCAAAATTGT